AATAAATCTATTATTGGCGATCACTTGAATTATAATCAAATTAACCCCTAACAAGATTATCAATATCTTGTTAAGCGTGGTTACAAGTACCAATTCCCTTTAAACATGTATAAAAAGGCGTGATCAAACAATAACAATAAATATCAAGCAACATAATAAATCATCATAACAATAATTATAACAATTATAATAATCATCATAAACATGTTAAAGCATAATAATAGCAAGATCCTAGGCATGATACTAATAAGATTAAAAACAAAACCCTAGCATGTCACTAAACATATAAAAAATCAAAGCTTTAACCCTAACATGAATTTTAGGAAGAGTAGAAAGCATCGCAGGAATCATAATTGTCATATTTGATGATAGAAATTATAGTTATTACCCTAAACATGATACTAGGAAGATCAAAACGCCCTAACATGACACTAGGAATCATAATAACAACCTAATTATGATTTCTATATCATAATAACAATAAATCAATTAAAGCACTTACTTGGATGCCTCATATCTCTTTCTAATAACAAAATACACACGTTAGTAACTTCAAGGAAAATAATAAAATAAACAATTAAATAAAATAATAATAATAAAGATTTGGGACCAAACCCTCAGAAATTAAACCTTTCACGTCTAGGGCGAAGGCAACTTCGAATATGGCTAGGTGTATCTAAGTCTTGCGAATGCGGAATTTTGTATTTGAGAAAAGGCTAGTTTAGAAAAAAAAGAGAGAGAGAGAGTAATCAAGAGAATCTTGATGAGTTGGTCCATGAAAACGGAGTTTTTAGAAGGCTATTTATAGAGAAAACCAGCCAAAAAGATAAAAAATCAAAATAGAGTTCTGACGCGTAAAACAAGGTTAGCGTCAGACGCTGACATTAGCGCCAGGCGCTAACGTTAGCGCCAGGCGCTAATGCTGGCGTTTGGCGCTGACTAAGTTGTTGACGCGTTTTCTAAAATCAGATAGAAATTGCCGTACAGGAGGATAAAATCGTATTTTCCTCAAAAACATTCTTTTATTCTGATTAAAACTCTAAAAAGTCAACAAAATTCAATTTATCAATGCTAATTGAATTAGGAATGAAAAGAATCTTCTAGAAGAATCTAGAATACTAACACCATTCCTAATTGCATTAGGAATGATAAATCTATATTAGGCCCTCCTCTAGATAATTGGGCCGCATATAAGGCTCAAACCGGGCCCAGTTTAGTAATTTGACCATAACTTCCTCAATATTCATCGGAATTAGGTTTATAATATATCGTTGGAAAGCTATTTTCAAGCCCTATCCAATACACTATTATTGGACCCATATCATGGACCAACCAAACTCGATTAGCTGTTTTCTTAAAATAGGTTTTCAAAAACAGAGAGAGGAGAAAAGAAATTAAAACTATCCGCAACACTAAACTTTCCACACTTTCACTTCATTCGATTATGATTCGACGTGAAAAGTACTCATCACTGAGTTTGGTTTTGGATAGACACAAATGAGTGTCTACACTTGGAGAAGAGATTAAAGAATTATGAAAAGTTTGATATTAAGGTGACTAAGAATAATTAATTTAAGAAAGGTATGTTGTCATGAAATATAATATGGCAAAAGAGATTACTTGGAGAATAATCAAGGAAGATATAATGTAGTAAAATAAGATGATCAAACATTTAGGAGATGGAAAAATAAAATTAAGGAAAATAAGAGATTTTAAGGAGATAATTAAAAATACAAATTTCCAAAATAATTTACCCAAAATCCAACCAAAATGGCCAAATATTTTGAGCTTCCATGCTTCAAATTTTTGGATTTCCTTTGTAGTATTAATGGATTGTTTTTGCTAGATTTAAGAAATTAGAAATATTTGTGTAAATATTATTTATTGTATAAAATAAATAATTAAGAAAATAGAAATTATTCACTAAATAAAATAACTAAGATAACCAGATTTTGAACACATAGAAAATCCGAAAATCATAGTAAATAATTTAGGAACTTTTAGCCCTTTTAAATAAATAGTAAAATATAATTTTGTTTAATTAAAATATTCAAAATATATATAAATTATCCGGTTTTTAAATAAAATAAATGGATAATAAATCTTATCCAAAATCCAAAATAATAATTGAGTTTAAAACACTTTTGGCGCTAAAATTCAAATAGTAAAATAAATTACTAAAATACCCTTTTTAAGATAATTCTAATTAATTAATTAAAAATACGTTTAAAAAATACAGGGTATTACATTAAATTTGCTCCGTTTATTATTCTCTCGTGAGAGATTAAAAAGAGGATGCTTTCTTTACAAAAAAAATTAAAATACACATTAAATGACTAAGATTTACTCTTCTGGGTAATCCTTGGTCTTCGGGTCACTTATGATGTCATAAGCACCTTGTCTATAGTTTGTGATGTTGGATGCACTTGCATCAGTTTTGTGTTGTTAGGCACCTTACTTATTGTTGGTGTTATTGCGGCCAATTTTGTCTTTTATTAATAGAGACTTAGAAAACTCAATAGTCAAAATCATGTCTTGAAATGTGGTTAATCAAACTGTAACACTTAATAACTAGACAGACAAAGTAATTCTTAATTTTAGAGCTAATCATTAATGGCTGACCCAACTTGAAAATGGTATAGATTGTCAATATATTTTATATCGTAAATTGACTCGTAAAAGTTTGCTTTGGCTTGAAAAGCCCATCCCAATTTTGTGGGGGTAGGACATAACTTTTATTTTTATCCAACCAATGATTGATTTAAGATGAAAAAAACTGACACAATACTGATTGGGCACGAAAAATCAAATTAGTTTCAAGGGTTTACGACACGCTTAAATAAATGATCAATACTATACGTCACATTTTTTTTAAAAAAAAATAGTAAAAACAATTCATTAATAAATACGACATCATAACGATAATCAAATTTAACAAATATATAATTTGAATCAAATAAAAAAGTTCATAAAAACTACGATCGTCGAGCAAATTTTGCAAGTGGAACATCTCCCCCGCGCTTATATCGATATAAAATATATCGAGACAATCTAACGAACCCTTCTAGTCGTAAGGATGATTTCCATCGGTTTCATCTGATTGTATTTGAAAAATTGATAACCTTTGCGACACCGCATAATTTTCACTAAAGAAACAAAACAATTTCATGGCAATCCATCAAATCTATTATCTCGGATTAAAAGTTAAAGAAATTCCCCCTCAAAAAGAGAGAAAAACTATGTCTTTCGTCGAAAGTTGATAAACCTTGTCTATCGAATAAGATTGAAAAAACTTGTCTTTTTAAGGTCGATACCCTTTATTATGAGGAAGAAATAATTATAAACCTAAAATATAACAAACAAAAAAGTCTTAAAAAACAAAGGTTAAGGCTTTTCACCTGCTAAAATGATAAAAGCGCATTCAAAATCAACAATGGAGGCTAGGAATTTTTTTTAGAGAAAAGGGAGAAGTCAAATAAGTGTTTTTTTTTCCACACACTAGATAACTCACTTAAGAAGAAAAAAAAAACACAACAATAATACAACATTACACAAACTAAACCGTAAACATGGATTTTTTTTTTTTTTTTGAAAGGAGACGGTAAAAATGGATTGGGTTATTCTACATAGTGCCCTTGTGTTTTTTGGGTTTCTACATGGTGCCCTTGTAAATTTAACTTTCTCTATGGTGCTCATGAGTTTTATTAAGGTTATTACCTATACCCATTCCTTAATTAAATTTTAATTTACATTTAACTATGGTTAATATTTTTTTTTTCTCCCAACTCCATTAAACCTGATTTCAATTTTCCTATCTTACCTTCTTTCCACTGAACAGCCATGCCTATTTTGGTATTACTTTATTTGCAATTCTTTCTGGTCTTATTGTTTATATTTCATTTTTTTTTCTTGGGCTTATTGATTAATAATGGTGAGTAATTTAAAGGAGAGATTACATTAGAAAATGCCTTAAAAGTCAGTATGCAATGATAATCACAATATAAAATCAACAACTAACGCAGTATAACAAACCATTGTACTCAGAGAGTTTGCTAATTGTTAATCGTATCACCAGAAGCCAGAAGGTGTTTGCTTGAGCTGAACTTGCCCAAACTGGTAATTTTATCACCAAGCAAGCCATAAAAGGCTGACTTGTAGCAAATTGCTCCTACCATGAATCTAACCAGGCCAACCGATTTCAACAATAAAGCCTTTTCTTTTTAGATAGAACAAGTAAGTAATTAATCAAGTAATCGTAGCTTTTAGAATAATATGAGCAAAGACTTCCAGTTTCATTGAATTGAGATATTTAAGTTGCAAAGTTTGTGAATTGTGAATAGAACAGGGGTGAGTGAAGGGAAAGGTGAGTGGTTTGATTAGAATTGAGAAATTTTATTTTATTTTATTTTTTTTGTTTCTTTTCTTTTACTAACCACGGTCAAGTGTAAGTTAATTAACTTTTAGCCAAGGAATAACCCAATATACAAGGGCACCATTGAGAAAATTAAATATACAAGGGCACCATGTAGAAACCATAAAAACACAAGGGCACCATGTAGAAACCATAAAAACACAAGGGCACCATTGAGAAAATTAAATAAACAAGGGCACCATGTAGAAACCATAAAAACACAAGGGCACCATGTAGAAACCATAAAAACACAAGGGCACTATTGAGAAAATTAAATAAACAAGGGCACCATGTAGAAACCATAAAAACACAAGGGCACCGTATAGAAAAACCCGAATGGATTTATATACCATTTAACTTTGAACACAATCATGAGCATGAAACAAAACTTTTGTTAGCTCTATTTGTTGCTCATTCTTACTCTTCTTTAAAAAAAAAACGCATCAACCACCACCTAACCGTCCAACACATTACACCTAAATCGATTTTTTTTTTCGTAAATGTAAGAAACAAGTCAATCACATACTCCATAAATACATTAATGTTTCAAATTATTTCAAATCATATGTTGTTAATGAATTAAGGGAACCAAAAATTATTGCCAATTTGCCAGTCCTAAATGGTTGTTCTCGTCGTAAATATCAATAATAATTCAAATTCATACCATTTCAAATTAATATCAACGCTCCAACAATAAAATATTCAAGACGTATAAATATTAAAGTACGACACAATTTCAAATCCCCCAAATTTCGTCTTCTCCGCCATTATACTACTTTGAAGAGCTCCATTCAGCTCTTTCCCGTGAACAAACACAACGCCATTTTTGCTCAAATTTTCTCTCTCCTCCAAAAATGTTCTTCACTAAACCCTAATTCAACTCTCTCATTTTCTCTCTCCTCCATCAACAATGGCGACGGCAGCATTCAGGTCAACAACACGGCGAACATCAATCGGAGGAGACTCCAATTCCAACTCCAGTACTAGTCGGAACTCCACATCATCGTCGTCGCACCACCGCCGTTCACGGAGTGTCAGCCGATTTTCGCACCGACTTCCAGCGGAGGTCTCGCCGGAGGAACCGCCGTCGGCGAGTCGTAGGGGTAAATTTGTAAATACAGTACGAGGTTCTGGTGTTCCTGAGATTAGTCTCGATGATCTTGCGATTGAGATGTTTTCGTTGAGTGATATCGGTGAAAGAGGGCGAACTACTTCTGATGAGGTTTCTTCTGCAAATAGAGATGATAAAACGGCGTCGCATCGGAGAGGAAGGTCGGTTTCTAGGCGTGGGGCTAGGGTTGGTGAGCTGAGGAGTAAGAATTTTGGCGAGAAAAAGGGCGATTTTGATGGTGGTACTTCTAGAAGGAGGCGGTCGCTTTCTGTTGCTCGGAATTATCAAATTAGCGATTCTGAGGTATGGAATTTTAGTAAGTATTTTTAATTTTGTTGTGATTTTTGGAGAATTAGGGGTTTTGATTGATTAATTTGGTTGGAAGTTTTGAATTTTTGGCGGAATTTAAAGTTGATGTGATATATGGATGTGGGTCAATTTGTGGATTGAAATTGCTAGTTTAATTAATAGGACCTATCATATTAATTAATTTTTTTTTCTCTCTTTATTTGGAGTATAAATCAATGTTGAGAGAAAGTAAGTACTCATTATGTTGGGTGTATTAACTTTTGAAGAGGGCGATGGATTTTGTTTGTATGATTGTGGTTTTGTGTTATATGCACTGTTTTGTAAAGCAAGCTATCCTTTTAATGTTTCTTGATGCCATAGATTATATGCCAATTTGGAAGATGGTACTCCGTAATAAATAATGATAGGGTAATGCTATATGTAGCCCTAAGGGCTATATATGAGCAATAAATACACTCTTGGAAATTGTATAAAATTAGGAATTCATGACAAAAACACGCGTAAATAGGTGTAATTAGTGTTTATACTCCTTCCGTCCCCTAAAGAACGACCCATTTGGCCTAATTTTAGTCCCAAAAAGAATGACCCATTAGCATTAAAATACTCACCAATTTGCAACAATATTTGTGCAAAATTAGCTTCCCCATATAAAATTTTGTTTTTCCATATACTTTTATTACTATCTTTCTCTACTGTTTTATAAACCCCATGTAAATTTATCTTTTCAATATACTTTTACTTTTTTTTTATTTAACTTTATTAATACCCGCGAAATCAACCCAAAAGGGTCGTTCTTTCGGGGACGAAGGGAGTATTTTGATGATTTCTTAACTTTTTACGATTTACAAGTGTAAATTTAATGCTTATATGTAGCCCTTAGGGCTATGTATAGCATTTTCCAATACTTGTGAGTTTGTGGTTAATATTTTGAGAAATTTCATGTCAATTTAATTTAATTTTCCTTTGTTATTTAAGATCATAGGGATTGGATGTTTGCATAATGGAGTATTATGTGCCCCTCCGTCCTTTTTATATGTTACATTTTGATTGCTACAATCTCTAATGCACATGCTTAATCATGAATAAAATCAATTGAATATGAGGAAAAATTATAAAAATTTGATATTTTGAAAATACATATCAAGCCAAATCTAACACAATCCCCACATTATATAGTTTTGATGTTTATATTTTTGTGTGTTTATACTATGAGTTTTTATAAGTCAATTAAAAAAGTAAAAATCTAACAAGCAAAACGAAAATAAAGAGTACGAAATTTGACTATGATTTTTTTTATTAAATTTTTAAAAAAATGATATTATGCAAATTGCAAAGTATTGTTGGTTAATATCATTTATAATTTTAATTTTATTTATTTATTTATTTATTTATTTATTTTTTTTTTTCAGTTTTCTTTAATAGAAAAGTAAAGATATTAATAATTAAAGTTATGAAGACAAGGGATTATCTTTAATTGTTGCAACTATTAGAAAAAAAAAACCAAAAGAAATATGTGGTTTTCATCCTAGGCCTCGTTTGGTTAGATATAAAAACAAATTTTCCATTCATCTCATTTTCCTTTGTTTGGTTTGTAAATGGGTGAAAAATAGCATCCTTAGTGGTGATTTGGTGAAAAACATTTCCTTTGTAAAAATAAGGGAAGCCACATTTACCTCCCTATTTCTTAACTCCTTTATACTTTTCTCTCATCCATCCTCAAATTTTCACCTCCTATTTATAATTTTTCTATTACCTCCGTTTCATATTATGTGCAACAAAGAGCTTGTCATGAACTCCAAGGTGAAATTTGGGTTTTAGTGTTAAATGGAGAAAGAAAGATAGAGATGCATGTGATGATGAGAGAGATAGAGGGATTTGACAATTTAAAATGAAAATAAAACATTTGTTGCACATAACTTGTATTTTCTACTTTTAGTAAATGTTGCACATAACATGAAACGAAAGGTAGTATAACTTTTCTTGTAAGGAACTAAACAAAGGAAACTGAATGTAATTGTGGTTTTCCTTGAAAACATGTTTTCCATGAAAAATAATCTTTCATTGAAAATGTTTTACATTTAACCAAACGTTGCCATAGATTCCTCATTAATTTTCAGCCCTATACAATGGCAGGGAAGTATTAGTGGACTATTATTATGAGGTAAAAGATTAGATAGAGTGTGTATTCATCAAAAGCCAGAAGATGAATGCTGGATGGGTGGGGTGGGTCATAGACATAAAGGGAGTTGTTCAGTACAAATGGTGTAACTAATAAAATATTAGAGGAAAAGTAGGTAATTTTGTTTAAAATTAATGTTATATAAGGGTAATATAGGAATTTTACATCACAAAACTTACCAAAAAAAAGAAATGTGTCAACTAAAAAGAACTTTCCCAAAAAGAAATGTATCAACTAATACAAAACCGAGTAATTAGTTACCTAATTAGGTATTACCTAGGCTATCTTTGGAGAGCAAGTATATCGATTATTGCTTGAATTTCAGCCTTATAAGCATACTATTTGACACAATATTTAATGTCACAAGAATTAATAAAGATTTGACATAAACGTCTACAAAATTTTGCAGTTTTACCTATATGACTTCATTTTTTGTTTAATTTGACGAGTAAAAATGGCAAATATAGTTCTTACAACCAAAATGTTGTAACTGTGAGCATGTTATCTTCATCATTTCCACATTTTCCTTGACCCACCTGATAGCTCTTGTGTATGCTGTGCTGTCTTAAGTAGTCTTACCGAGGGTGCCTCTTTCTTAGTCTGGAAGTCATATGCTAGATCACTTCCTTGGATTCCATTAGAAAAAATCAAAACATCTTTTGGACTATCGGTCCATGCTGTATTAATGATTGGGTTGTCTTCTTAGGGCACTTTTGTACGGTGACAATTTTACTTCTTTACTTGATCTTTACGAGTGGGTAATATACAAGAGAGAAAAGGGTGGGAGGTGGGGGAGTGAAATGACCAGAAAATGGGAAGTAAAAGGAAAGTAGAGAATAATGACTTATTTTTATTCATTCTTTAGGGAAGACAGATAAAATGAGGATCTGTTAACTCACTTGTTAGATTGGGTGTCTGGTTGTAAAGTACAAAAATGTTACAGCCAGTTGTGTGTGCATGTATGTGTATTGTGCAAAAAGGGTGATATCTGGTGAAGGGATAAAAATATCAATTCAAATCATTGCGAAGGATCCTGATTCCAGTGGTCTTTTTCACCCTTTAGAAGAGTTGTTTATAAAATTATCTGTTTGTGTTAATGTGAATCTGCCAGCTCTTAGATAATAACTGGTATATATTAGGAGCAAGGAGATGAACTGAAATCTGCAGACAATGCATCATTGAAGACAACTACTTGTTAATGTCACAGTTTACAAATATATTTGTTACTTCTAATAACAGTAATAAGTATTGTCGAGGCAATTTGATGATTTTTGGACGTCAATGCTACAAATGCATTATTTTAGCTTTCAATCATTAGAAAGTGTGCATTTTCCCATAAGCACCTCTCTGTGTATCTTGTGAAACTGGGCCAGTTTAAACTTCAAACATCTTTGGAATATGGTGGTGAGTGACCTAGTCTTCCCCTCTCTCTGGCAAGCAGAAAGGTCAGCAATAAAAGTGCCCGAAGCCTACTTCAAAGTTTTCAAAAATATAATTCCTGTTTGTCTTAACTTACACTACCTCTAGATTTTTTCTTTTTGCTACTCACTTTCCCATTTACGGCTGCTCTTCAGTTATATTCCATTTTTGGCATACCCTACCATCTTTCCCTCTTACCTCACGATATTTATCCCTTTCCATACTACCTCTCTTACTTTTTCTTAGTCCCACCCATCTTTTACATCCTTTCTCGTACCTCGTTTTACAAACTTACTATTTCCTACACCCACACAACTTTTAAACTATCTACAGTATAATAAGTGAGTCTTAAAAAATAAGGAAAGAAAAAAAAAGAGGAGGTATTACATGCAACGCTAATTATTTGTACAATCTACTTATTAAATTTGACCACAATTATATATTGATATATAAAAAGGAATAATGTTAATTTGTAAATTGTTGCTGGGTAACTGTTAGTGTATACTTTGAAATTATTTCCTTGTAGATAACCAAAGATGTTAATCATCAAAACTATGTGTCAAGCATGAAAGTCAAATTGTTGCAAGTATTGAGAAATGGAGGAAATATTGATATGAGTTGAGAAAGAGAATACAATCATCAGAGGTAGACTATTAGTTAAGAGACTTTCTGAGTACACATGTTGCTGAATTAGTTTTCTTTCCTTTTCTTTTTTAGCTGATAATATTGCAAACAAGTTTGCTGATTGTGTTAGCACCTTCTAGCGAGTTACTTATCTCTTGATTTTTGTGTGACACGGTTTCTGATTACTTGGAATTACAGAATGAACACATTCAGAAAAACAGGAGTCTTGTGAGAGCCAAAGATCTTAACACGTGGAGCAAACAAAAGGCTGCAATGCAGCCAACATCTTCTAATCAGCGGAGAGGATTGTGGAGGTCCTCTAGCCAGAAAGATCTCTTGAGGTCATATGATGGGTACTCTGTAAGTGCCACCCTATCTCTCTTTCCATTCCAAACCTGTTGAGGCTTTCTACTGTAGGTTCATTATAAATTGCTTACCTCAAACCCCTAGCTTGAAGAAGCTGTTTGGACTGGAGCATTTCTGTCGGTGGTTCAGTGTTGTACTAATACAGTTATATTCATCTTTAAGCATCTAGGTATCCTGCTTATTATATTCTAAAACTTTTGTTTATAACTCTCAGAGCTATTCCTCCACCCTAACTGATGATGAAGGGAATGATGCTTGTTACAATGCTAACCGGAGAACGAAAGACATGCAAACTGCCTCCAAACAAAATAAGGTTATGTTCTGGAGTGTGTATGTTTTTTTTTCCTATATATATTAAGGAAGGAGGTGTTGGGTACAGTAAGTGATTTGCTTGCTGTTATCCAAATATATTGTCTTTTATGTGTCTGAATCTTTACTCTTATGTGTACCTCACCTTCATTATATTTTTCATGACTTATAGGAACCACAGGCAAGTGGATATGGGCAATGGTCCAAAGCATTGCAAAAAGACTATACGAATCCTGCCAAAGATATTAGGCTAGATTATAGACAGGTTTGGTTTCTCCTCAGGTGTTTGGGTTTAAATATTTCCTTAACACTATCTGTTTCTTATGCTTTCCTTTTTGGGAGCTGTCCTAAGAAAAATAACTGACAGCATGTATGTACAGGTTAAGGCTGAGAACCAACTGTCAGAGTTGGCTAGTAACAATGGTCTTCAGTCATCAGACTCTGATGCTCTTAAGGCTGTTTCAACTGTTAGAAGGAATTATAAGTCAAAACTGGAAGAGGTAGGTCTTAGTTTATGCCTTATTGCTTAATTATTTAGTATGAAGTCATGCATGTGTTCATTATTCGTTATAATCAGAAATCATTTGATGGTAAGGTTCATCTCATCCGCTGAGTGCTTATCAACTGTTGATGATCTGATAGTTAACTGTAATACCGTATGCTAATCCTCTGCTTGTCACAGTCTGAAAAGCGTAAACAAGAACTCCTTGCTGAAATAATGCTGGAGGAGGAGCGTGGTAAAGAGCTAAAAAAAATTGTTGGAGAACTGCTTCCTCATCCAAAGAGCACTCCTGTTAAAAGAGCTGCTAGAGGAAGAAAGGTGCATATTATCTTAACCAGGGATCCTCACTGCTTTAGAAGCACAGGAAGTGCACATCTCATTCAAGAAAAAAATCGTTTGCTTGTCATTTATTTAGACAGTTTCTGAAACTCTCCATTTGTGAATTTCAGAGAAGTACTGACACAATCAGAATGCCTAAGCAATTGGTAGAAGAGGCTGATAAAATTATTGACGAATTTATTTCCAGTGTTGAAGAAACTGATATCTCATCATTTGATGGTGAAAGGAGTGATACCAGTTCTGTTTTTGGGGGTGCAGTAAAGCCAACCTGGCAATACGGAGATACAGAATCTTTTAAAAGTCCAATGAGATCTGATTTGCTTCCTGGTGAAATGGATGGGGTTGTTCTTCCTTGGTTGAAGTGGGAGACTGGCGATGATGGTACTCCTCTTCTGGGCAGTTATGATAAGCAACATCCTACAACTCCAACAACTGTTCTACAGGGTTCACAGGAGGTAATGTACTGTTTGATATTTGCACCTTATAATTTGCTACGTCCATGCATTGTTGTTTATGGTATCGTTGACATATTATCTTGTCAAATTTGCTTACATATTTGATTAACTATAATTGAATGATGCTCCACATGATTGCAAAGTTACCAACAGCGGATACTTTTATGATTTGGTGTGGAACGCCATAGAAAAGCTATAGGAAAAATTGAATCACTTGCTTTACTATTTCATGTCACCAAGTGCAACAACCCTGTACCAAATTAAATGCTTTCATATTTTATCTTGATCAAAGCATTGATCTGTGTTACTTCCAACAAGAGAAGTTGTTACTGGTTAACCCCCCATTTGACATATTGAGGATTTTCAGGGTATGTTCATTATAAAGAGTAACAGTTTGACTTTGCTTTTACTGATCTGAGACATTTTGTCAAAATGATTTCTCATTGCTATCAATATGTTTAAATTAGTTGAACCACATGATACAACAAAATATTGCCTAAATTCCTATTTGTTCTCCACCATTATTAGAATATAAGATGTATTTATTTGACTTTCAAAAAAAGTAAATTTGAACTAATGCTTTGAACCTAATGAACACGGGTTTTGTGTCAAAATTATTTTGAGTGGAAAAATCCATATGTAATTCGTGAAATGATCAGCTATAATGTCATGATATCTGAATGCATTTATAAAATAATTTGGAGATGTCCATAAATCAATGTAAACAAGCTCAAGAGAAATGAGGAATTAAAATTGATCGGTAAAAGGGAGCTTATGACTCTTATTACCTTGACATGATTAACTTTTAAAAAAATCAAAACCGAGGAACTAAAGACTTTCAGTTTAAATTGTGAAAATAAAAATTTGAAAACAGCTAAAGATGGATGGCCAAGTTTATGAATCTATGATGCCAATTAATTACCCGAGCTTTGACAATAGTCAAGGCTAGAATAAAAGAAGGGTCCCTACTCCCTAGCTAGTTAGACCACAAGGGACATGGTGAGAAGCTCAAATATCTAACAGCTTAAAGGTGGCTGAGGTGAGTTGGGTTACCATGGCCATGTTGGCTTTTGGTAATTGTTGTGGGTTGGATGGTGGTGGGAGGGTAGGATGGGTTTGCGGAATTTTTTCGTGAAGATATAGAGATAATGGTAATAAGCATGGCGCCACTGGCATTTGCCTTGGTAACCCATACCCTTTGTTATTGACGTTTTTCTTTAGATAATATCCAGCAGCCTTACAGTTAATAATATGGCACTTATGACTTTATGAGACTTAGTTTGGTGAGGGAACAAGTAGTAGAAGAGGTGATGGGGTAATAATGGAGGAAAATTGAGTACTGATGCTTACCTTACATATAAGTAATTTTTCATGAAGCTCATTAAATTAATGAGTCACAACCATTTAGCGAATCAATGATTGATATTTTGAGCTGTCTAGCCTTCAAGGTCTTGTTTGACGAGCTCCTTTGGCTTAAAATAACCCGCAAAAATAACATGCTGATTGAACAGGGACTCTAATTGCATTTGTATATGTTGATATTTTTGAAATACCTTTGTAATGAGCCAGAAGTTTGCTTGTGGAAGTTTAATGTCGTCAGGATTGGTGGGCATAAGGCCATAAGTGTGTGCCAGAATGTCCCGTGTTTCCTTTCAAGTGGAAGTACAAGAAAAGAGTGGGAAAATGGTGGGTCTTAGGTTTCCAATAAAATGAACCAAACAATAATTTATATAGCCTGACAAACCCAAGTGATGTAGGACGTGTTGCTAGAGACTAGAGTAGACAATCTCATGAGTAATAGTTTCAAATAGCGGTGTGTATGAACTATTTAAGAACTTAAGTCAACCATACTAACAAGTGTAGTTTCAACGTTGATAATTTGTGGTGTTTTGTTTGTAGATATTTGATAAGGTGGTGACCATACGAAGACGAGTCAGTTGACTTCACTTAACTCTAAAAAAAATTGTTATAAAGAATCAAAAGATGAAAAGTAAAAATTTACAATTGAATTACTCAATATGAGAAGATAATATGCAAAATTGGAGAAATGCATGACTCTTTACAAAAAAAAAAAAAAAAAAAAAAAGGCAAAATTGGCCGCAACAGCATGAACTTTTAAGAAGTTGCACTGAACAACACGAACTTTGACTAGTAGCTCAAACAACACAAACTTTGACGTAAGGTGCACGAAACATCATAAATGATTGTTGCCAGAGATTCTACCGGAAACAACCCATATGTAATATTTTATTATTTTCTTCTTTTTATTAATTTTTAAATGCAATTTTAGGCTTATTTGTAAAAAGAAAATATAATTACCATGTAATTAGTATCTCATGTGCTTTTTAGTTTTTCAATTACTTCACCATTCTTCCATATACATCTTTTCCCTGTAACCCATAATTTTTTGGTTTTGCTTCAAACTCCTATTTTAAGTTTTTACAGACTTTAGCTCCATTTGCAACTCCACAAGCTTTCTCCCATCCATGAAACCTTGAATTTCCTCACCAACAATCAATTTGTTCTTCATTTGCTTCAATTGTGCTTCCAATGTTTCATTATTGTTATTGTTTGCCTTCTTCCTAAACGATGAACAATAGGTTGAGCTCAAGCTTTCCAGGTTCGTGAACTTGCCAGCACAAGGACGACGCTTGCGTGATTTCACTTCGATTGGATCTTCTTCTTCGCCTATCAATGGTGTTCTTCATCCATTTGAGTTTTTTTTTTTTTTTTTTCCCTCTAATTGAGATGTATGTCAGTGGGTAGGTGTGGGAAGAATAGTGAAGTAATTGAGAAATTAGGAAGCACGTGAGATGCTAATTACATGGTAATTTTATTTTCCACCTTTTACAAAAAAAAGTCTAATATAATTACATTTAAAAATTAATAAAAGAAGAAAAATTGTAACACCCCCAAATCTCCCTCTACAGAAATACTAGTATATACCGTAGAGATAGACTTGGGCGTATTACCGCCGCGTGATTACGCAAGGCTACTTACAGTACTTAACTCAATTAACAAAACTTGAAGCGAAAACTCAACTTTCTTTTATTAATACTTATAAAAATAGTAACATTGTTATGAGTATTCAAAATAAAGACTAGACTAACATTCCTAAACTAGGTGAAGAAAGTCCCGGGACTCCCATATGCTCATTCATGACTTCACCTGAAAATAGTCAAGGCAAACCAAAACAAATAGAAAATACGGATTAGCAAAATATGCTAAGTACGATAAGTGCAAGATAATGTAAACTCAATTTATTTGCAAACATGCTTTTAAAATCAATTCCAATAATTTCAAACTCATTATTCCAAAACCGATTCCAATGATTCAATATTCAAAATAATAGTTAATAATACCAATTCCTTTATTAAGAACCAATTCCTTTTAGTCTAATTCCTCATCCAAGTGTGCACACCCCCCAAGCTAGTCTGCTTATATTACAAGGCTATTCTTAAGGAAAGACCCGGTCATACAAAGTCCAAGGCCTTATCAATAAACCAAATCCGCGTAGTTGGATTACCAACATGCTTATAAAACATTAATAATAATAATAATTCAATGGTTCAATAAATCCTTCTAATATCCAATAATTCCAATATAATTCAAACTCCTTCATAATTCCACATACTTTCAAAATTAAAACCTTTTAAATAAATACTTGAGAATAAAATCTCATATTAATTATTAGCTTTTCAAAATCAACAACTATTTCGTGAAAAAGCTTTATTTAATTCAACAAACCTTTTAAAATCAAATCCTTTATTTAAACATGATTAATAATTCAAATCATTCAAAATACTTTTATTAAAACAAATACTACATCTGTTAATTTTTATGTGCAACTTTGGAGTATTATTTGTGAGATATAAAAAATTCCAAAGTTGCCCATAAAAATTAACAAAGGTAGTATTAAAATCAATACCTCCAAACATAATTCATTTCAAAATCGTAGTTCAAATCAATTTAATTCAATCATCATAAAATCATTCAAAATATGTTATTCAAACCAATCACTTTCAAAGATATCTAGCCACCTAAACGTACCTTGATCCTTGCTAGCAAAACCACACAAAAAGAACCTCAAGAACCTTGATTCCGAATATCAATCCATATTTCGCACTTTTAAAGTTCAATCACAAATACACCTTGCAAATAATATAACCATAAGGTTATCACAACATAAACTCAAATCTAATGTGCATGGACTATAAAACTCTTTAAAAATAATACTTTAATATAAAATTGTAGCTTTGAAATAGGTATTTGTATTTTAAAAAACTAACCATGAAGAAGATAAAGGAATAGGAATAAAGAGAATTGAATTGGAAAGAATAGGCAGAACTTGCAGAGGTCATAACTCCTTCAATTTAACTTTGAATTGGGTGATTCCTGAGCCTAACCTCAAGGATTTTTCGAGAGGAACAATCTTCTGTGAAACGTCATAACCCCAAAACATGACCAAAAGTGCCCTAATTCTGGCTTCAAAGATAAACGGGATGATTTGTGTAAAAAGAGGAGAAGAAAAGTATGAAAAGGTTTAGGGAAAAGAAGAATAAGAGAGAAGAAGAGAATTGGGTTATTGGTGTGAAGAATATGAGAGGTATAAAGGGGTATTTATAGGCTCATGAATGAGAGAATTATGGTAGGAGAATGTAAGAAGAATTATGTTAAAAAGTATTAAGGAAATTTCTTGGAGAATTGAGTTAAAAAATTATGTAAACTTTTTATTTTAAGGTGATTAAGAATAATAGAGTGTAGGAAAGTGTGTTTATCATGAAGATAGTATGACAAAAGAGATTATTTGAGGAATAATCGAAGATGAAATAAGGTAGGAAAATAAGATGATCAAATCTTTGTGGGATGGAAAATATAAATTAAGGAAAATAAGAGATTTTAAGGAGATAATTAAAAATACAATTTACCAAAATAAATCACCCAAAAATCCATCATGGTGGCAGAAAATTTGAGTTTTCCTAAACTCATATTTTCATACCTCCCTTTAGATATTTATGGAAATAATTTGCTAGTTTTAAGGAATTAAAAATAATTGTGTAAATAAAATATATTGTATAAGATAATTAATTAAGAAAATATTAATTATTCACTAAATAAATTCACTAAGAAAATCAGATTTTCTACACTTGGAAAATATGAAAATCATAGCTTATTATTTAGGAAATTCGGACATCGTAATTAAATAATTAAAGTATAATTTTTGATTAGTTAAAATATCCGAAATATATATAAATAATCCGGTTTTTAAAATAAAATAAATGGATAATAAATCTTATCCAAAATCCAAAAATAATAATTGAGTTTTTAAAATACTTTTGGCGCCAAAATTCAAATAGTAAAATTAATTACTAAAATACCTTTTTAAGAGAATACTAATTAATGAATTAAATATAAATACGTTTCAAAAATACGGGGTATTACAAAAATAATAAAATATTACATACGGGTTGTTTCCGGTAGAATCTCATATGGCAACACTCATTTATGATGTTTTGTGGACCTTATGTCAAAGTTCATGCTGTTTGAGCTACTAGTCAAAGTTCGTGCTGCTGGGTGCAACTTTGTAAAAGTTCAAATTATTGCGGCCAATTTTGTGAAAAAAAAAAATACTTGTTACAAACAGCTACAAGATAAAAAAAATAAGGAAATGCAATGATGAATAATTTGTGGTGTTTTGTTTGAGGATATTTGATATGGTAACGACCATAAAAGGATGAGGCTGTTGAAGCATTGTTGGGAATGACAAAGGTGGAGCTACATTTAATGCAATAAGGTCAAGTGATTTCATACAACAATTAAAAGGTGAAAAATAAGGGCTTATAATTGATAATGGAAGACGATATGTGAATATATATGTGAAAACATATATATATATACACATTAAAAAAACTGGAAAAAAGTTTGAAAACAGCAAAATTACGAAAATGCCATTAATGAGAGCGGGTGTAATGTGAGCCATTAGATGGAGTGTGATCAATGGCTGGGATTAGTTCTTAGTTCTTATTATTCACCTTGGTTCTCATATGATCTCAATTCTTATATATATATATATATATATATATATATATATATATATATATAGTAACTCTTTATAAAAAATTGTTACAAACATTTAAACGATGAAAAGTAAGGACTTACAAAAGAATTATTTATAGTACAAATAGTGCATATTGCAAATATATGAGTAATATATAACATATGCTGGAATTTAAGGTTTGAAAATTCTTAAAAAAGTGTACTTCATGTGTTCTTTTTTAATTGCAACGTTAGAGTTTTTATGCTTTCTAATGCACTTTTTTACTCCTATTTGTATCAGAATAATTAGCATAGTCAAATTTAGTACACATGTCTATACAATATTTTAACCTTGAAAATATTATAAATGTTAGTAAAAGAATTTAGAAAGGTGCTTTAAGTTAATACTGTTTTTTTTGAAAGATTGGTATTAACTTAAAGCTCCATAATACCTATCTTTTATCTTGAAACCGTAAAAGAATTTATCTTGAATTATGTTGTTAGTTAATACCTATTTAACACGTTTCAAGATAAAATTTGATTTGTTATGTTACTTTAAAACTATGGTCAAAGTTAGTACGTGAATAGTGAAAAATAAGGCCGACGTGTCAATTATTCGGGGATGGAGGGAGTACCATTAATATCTTTAATTATGAAATTTTAATATTTTGAAAGTGTACCATGAAAAACTTAACAAGAACTCATGTGACTGTTTCTTTTTTAATGAATGAATCATAAAAGGCGGTCAAAGAAGGTTGGGTGAATAGTGCATAATTTTAAACATTGCGATAATAAAGAAACGGAGGAAGTATTTTTATGTTATTTTATTTTGAGAAAAAGTGAATTTGTTTAGCCCAGTGTGCTGCTTTGAAGTGAGACACATATGATAAGCAATAAAAAAATGTGGAAAATTGACATGTGCCTCAAGGGGTATGCGGTATGCCTCTCATCAAATTTGCTTCTTCTATACCACAAAGGCATATGACCACTTGAAGTGTGCTTTTTATTTTATTTTTTTATTATGCTTGTTGTCTATGAAGAACCATAAGTCCACAATTGCAATAGTATTCATGGAAAACTTAGATAGGAAGAGAATAAATGATCAGGACACTAGGTGTCTTTTTTTTTTAGGAGGGTGGGGGGCTTTTGGAAGTTTGTTCAAGAATTGGAGTGTCTTAGTTAATGTGAAGCAAAACCTGGTCATTGAAGAGCTAATGCTATAGGAGAGAGTAAGGAGACCATTCATCATAAAATATTTAAATAAAAATACATGTATGATCTCCTTACTCTCCTATAGCATTTACTCTTCTATTGTTGGATAAAAGAGGTTTGTTCAAGTGTTGAAGTGGACATAGTTAACAGAATTAAAGAAGGCAAAGCTTAATAGACTGGATTAATGTAATAGTTGACGGTTTATCTCAAGATAAAAAGGTAAATAACTAGCGCCACAAGTAAAATACTTCTTTATACCCTTTACCATACTACTTTCAAATTGGTTGGGTGTTACAAAAAATTTCCAACATTCCACTCTGTAATTGTTAGCTTTAAGCATGTAATATGCTAAACTCCAATGGTTGTTTAGATACAAGTAATAGTTGGGTCATTTCATTGTATTTGAATGGATGTTTTGTCTTCTAAAACATCCGTGGTGAGATTGAGAAACTAGAGAGTATAATTTTTCATCTCACCCAATGTAGGTAAAATCTTTGTTGCTATACTAAATTAACAATTTTACAGATGAGAAAAAACTTCTGTTAATTATTGCTAACAGTCAATTTTTTCATCTCTGTTTTCTGTGGTAAAACCAAAATGGCAAAGGTTTAGTGGAGAATTTCCTTCCTTTCCTAGCATTTGGGGATTGCTTTCGTAGAATTTTTTGTAAAAAAATAACCTTGTTGCCAGTTGATTATCTCCATCCAAAGAGGGTCTTGCAAATTTCTTGGTTTGTGGCTCATAACTGGTAGAGAGACTCTCTGGCTTCTGAAATCTGAATAAAATCATTTCCGTTAAATAGTTGTTTCAAGTCATGATAATGTTCACACTTTTTTTCAACGCTGTAGTAAACGTAAAAAAGATTGTGGGTCATACGAGTTTTGTTATTGGAAAATGGAGTTCAACAATTAGTGATCATGTGAATTTGTAAAGTGGCATGTAGAAAACTATGTTGGGATCCAATATAAGTCTCACTATTAAAGTTTCGTATAACAACATTTTTAACTCTCTACATTGGATTGGCAGATGACTGCTGGGGATGAGCAAGAACAAAGTTCAAGTTCCAAAAGTAGTCGTGGGAGTTGGAGTCCTGGAGTTGCCAATAGCTTCTCTTTGGATGTAGGAAATTCCAGCAAATCTGGAGTGGTTGAGAGCTACAAAAGCCAACTTTTATCTCGAGTGCCCAGAAAATCGCAGGTGGATATAGATGATTATCTAAAGCTTACAAGCAATGAGGGTTTCCTTTCAGAAAGATGGATACAGCGGGAGAGAATCCACTCAGGCGGTCTCCTTATATGTAATAGTAGATCTTCCGGAAAATTTCTTTATTGAATAACTGCAGTAATCCGTCTTATATCTAGGTGCATTGATCAGTAGTTACTGTATTCCGACTGATTTCTGTCGATTCTCAGCGTAAACCTGTGAGGCTATGTAGTTATTATTAAGGTCTCGCTTGTTTATGCTTTTACTTGTGTTGGGGTATATATCTTGAAGCAATTATGCATTCACCACACCTTGACTGCTGTACAAAGTACTGTCGCTACTGGAGTTTAATACCATATGCAGTTCTTCATAGCACTCTATCTTCCATATTGTCTCACTTTAATACCATGATCAGTTAATATGATTTATGACTACAATGTAAAACTTCCTTTGCCTCTAAATAAAAGCTCTATTTTTGCTAGTCATTGCTTTTTTAAATGAGAGTTATATGGCCAGTGGGATTAAAGTGGAATAAAAAAAAAAAGTAGTGGGCCTAGTTGGTCCTTAATAGCCTTTTTTTAATATTTGCATGGCTTTGACCAGGTTTGGGTTAGGTCACTTTAGTGCGCCGGTCATTTGAGACTAAAAAACGTGACTAACAACATTTGATCTTGGGGTAGAGGTGGTCCCTGTGTGAGCTGGGTGGGCTGGTCAGGGTTAGGTGGTTAATGGGTTGGGGTAGCTTGACACAGAACTGACTCGGGTTTTGGGTAGGGTAGGGTGGGTTGGGCCTTAGCCTGGGTTGAAGAAAACGAACACATCAGGGTTGGTTTAGTGCGTTAGGTGGGTCAAGCTGGGTTTGTGAGGTAGGTGGGTTGTGAGTGGGTCGAGTTGGGTTCGTGGATTAGGTGAGTTGCGGGTGGGTCAAGTTGGGTTCGTGGGTTAGCATTGTGTCCCAACTGTTTTAAACTGAGCCCCAACTAGCAAAAAACCTTGATGTAATTCATTTGTTTGCTACTTGAAAGCTTTCTCAGATGTGTCTAGGTTTGCAACTTGGCAGCTGATCTGAAATTCTGAATCGACAAAATCAGCAGTATTGTTCTGTTGAGCCCAGAGCTGAGAGTTTTTACCAGCTTTCGACATAAGAAATTAAGAACCTCATAAGATCCCTGCTCAACAATCTTAAGCCAGAAAATTTAACAGGTAGTCAAATTAGAAGCAACTTAAATTCTAGTCTTAACACCAACCAGTTCACAGATTGATAAAACTCAAAGAAAGTCTATTTTGCATGCTTATGTGGCAATTAAAATTTTTAATTATCAACACATAGTAAAAACTGATACTTTAAAACCTAGTCTCAACTAAGGTGAATACTATCTAGATAAGGTCAATTAACATGTCCTAAACCTACTTTCGTTCGTGCATGGGTTATTATTCTACAATCAACTAAAGCCTCAGTTCGGCTCTACCAAAAATAATAACGATCTATATTAAATTTATAGGAAATACGGAGTAATTTATAATGTTCGAATTTGAATATATGATAGAAACTATATTGTCGAACAATATATTTATTTTTACTTCTCTTTATCATTATACTAGTTTTGTGCCCCGTGCGATGCCCGGGTTATTTATGAACTTTTAAGATAAAATTATATTATGATTCAATTTAATTGAAAATAGAATTCTTAATTAACCTTTTTTTTTTTGCCACAAAGTCTATCTATATTTATCCAATGTGGTACGACAATTGGTGCGTGAAAAATTAAAACGCTAAATGATGTTGTCTTGTGGCCTAGTTATAAGTTTATTATTTTGTATTTTATCGAAAATAAAACTCTAAACTAACAATCTTATTCTAAATTAACTTTTTATCTTATGAAGTCTATCCAAATATATCTAAGGTGGTGCGACACTTGGCGATTTTTATGTATAAAGTCTATTAAAATCTATCTAAGGTGGCGCGACATTTGGCGAAAAGTTGGAACGCCAAGTGTCGCTATTTCGTGACTTGGCTAAAAGTTTACCTTTATATATTAGTTATATAATATTACTCCGTATACTTTATATTTTGTGAAGTTGATCCAATATATTAATTTTGCATCAAAGAAATGCTAGGTACTACGTTATTTCAATTACGTGTGATGTAAATTTTTTTTTTTTTTTTTTTTTTTTGGTGTTTAGAGAGCCACAAGGGCGTGGGTGGGAATCGATTCCAGGATCTCCTGGAATCGGGAGGGAAGCTCAAACACTTGAGCTATCCATCACTCTCACGTGTAATATAAATGTTAGCTGAGCTTAATTAATCCCACACCCTTTCTCTTGCTGCCCGAATATAAAGGGGACCAACTAGGCAACTACTATCTTCTTGTTTATACAGTTTTACGAATAACAACCCAAATATTAGGAACAAATGAAGTCAATTATTATTATTACGTAGTATTATAAAACATAGAACAACTATTGGAAAGGAATTGATAAAACATAACAGATTGAGATAGCAAACACCCTTAAATTCTTGGAATATGTTATAAATTTATATATACTTGTTTTGTACTCCGTGCAACGCCCGGGTTGTTTATTGAATTGTAAGATAAATTTTTAATCTATATATTAAATTTTAAAACATGTTATTGATAAAAATTTTAATTATGATTTGTATATCTGAAATATTGGTATTTTATCGAAAATAAACTCTAAACTAACAATCTAATATCATATAACTAATATATAAAGCTAAACTTTTAGCAAGGCGACGAGACAACGACACTTGGCGTTCCAACTTTTCGCCAAGTGTCGTGCCACGTAGGATAGAATTATATAGAATTCAATTTCTAGGATAAAAAAGGTAGTTTAGAAATTTATTTTCAATCAAATTTGGATAGAAAATATAAAGCTAAACTTTTATCATATAACTAATATATAAAGCTAAATTTTTAGCCAGGCGACGAGACAGCGACACTTGGCGTTCCAACTTTTCGCCAAGTGTCGTGCCACGTAGGATAGAATTATATAGAATTCAATTTCTAGGATAAAAAAGGTAGTTTAGAAATTTATTTTCAATCAAATTTGGATAGAAAATATAAAGCTAAACTTTTAGCCAGACGACGAGATAGCAACACTTAGCGTTCCAACTTTTCGCCAAGTGTCGTGCCACGTAGGATAGAATTATATAGAATTCAATTTGTAGGATAAAAAAGATAGTTTAGAATTTTATTTTCAATCAAATTTGGATAGAATTTTAGGATAAAATTGTTAATTTAGAGTTTTATTTTTGATAAAGTACCAATATTTCATATGTACAAATTGAATTATAATTTTATTAAAAAAAAAAGATTATTACTGTCATAAATTATCATATAAATTTATTTTTTGTATCATAATATTTTTTAGGAGCAAAGGATTAGTTCAAAATGTACCACATCCGATTTATAATATATTCTAATCAATTAAAATAATATACTTCACAATCTAATATAATTTTATTACTGTGTGTAGACCTGTCAATCAGGTCGGGTCACGAGTCATTTCAGACAAGGTAAAAAAAAAAAAATTCACCAATATTATTATTGTTTGTCGTTACATGTCTACAAGTTTAAATCGTCACAAAAATACGTCAATTCCTAACTAATTTTGTATCAATGATATGTTTTAAAATTTGACATATAGATTAAAATATATCTTTAAATTTAATAAACAACCCGGGCATCGCACGGGCACAAAACTAGTATATATATAAAGGGGAGTTTTTTCCCGATTTTTTAGAGAGCCACGTAGGATCTAATTTTCTCACATATAAGCAAAATTGGCGAATGAGATTTTTAAGTTTAAATTAATTAAATATTATATATTATCTTTTAATATTAGGAATTTTATCTAAATATATAAAAAATTTTAGGTTCATAAATACAAAAAAAAACATTATTTTAAAAAAAATCAAGTAAACCGTGCATCGCACGGGCTTCATCTAGTTTTATCTTAAAATTCTATCCAAATAGAATTCTAAACTAACTTTTTTATCTTGTAAAGTCTGTCTATCCTACGTGGCGCAACACTTGGTGAAAAGTTAGAATGCCAAGTGTCGTTGCCTCGTGACCTGACTAAAAGTTTAGCTTTATCAAATTTTAAAATATATTATTGATACAAATTTTAATTATAATTTGTACATCTAAAATATTGGTATTTTATTGAAAATAAAACTCTAAACTAACAATTTTATCTTAAAATTCTATCCAAATAGAATTCTAAACTAACTTTTTTTTCTTGTAAAAGTTTATATATACTAGTTTTGTGCCCCGAGTGATGCCCGCTTGTTTTTTAAATTTTGAAATGAATTTTTAATCTATTGTCAAATTTCAAAATATATCTTTAATGCGAAATCAGTTAGGAATTGATTGTTTTGTAACGATTTAAACTATGTAGTAGACATGTAAATGACTAATAATAATATTGGTATTTTATGAGAGTGAGGGATACTCAAGTGGTTAGAGCTTCCCTCCCGATTCTAGGAGGTCTTGGGATCAATTCTCACCCTTGTCCTTATGGGCTCTCTAAACACCGGAAAAAAAAATGGTAAATCTTTCCTTAATCCTAGGGTTCTACAATTAAAGATTTTCTTTCAAAGAGTCATAGATAAATGCATAAATATTTGACAAATAATATTGTAAACTATATTTAGATACTTTCTGTAAAAGGTGAGACACAGAAAAGTATTACTTTAGATGTTATGCATCATGAAACCGTGAAACTAATAATACTTGGATAGAGTTTTCTTTTTGGAAAGGTAAGATTAATAAAGCAATGATTTTTTTTAAAAAAATAAATTTATGATTTGATATTTTGATTATGTATGTGCTGGATAATAAGTTGCCAAAGCAATGATTTTTTTAGTTTTTACCAATTATGATTTGATCATGTAATCAAAATATATAGGGTGCAAATTGGGATGATCATCTATATTAAACTAATAATCAATTGAGCTAATCATTTATTAAGTTAATAATCAACTGGGATGATCACTTACCTTATCAATGAAACTTATTCCACCATTTTTTACCAATTTACTTATCAAATTCATGCATATTGATAATTGATTGTGCTAATTTACTCTTTTATTAAGTTATCAATCAACTGGGATGATCACTTACCGATTTTGTTATCAATGAAAATTGCCATTTACCAATTTACCTATCAAATTCATACTGATAATCAATCCTAATAATTTATTAAGTTCATAAAATCAACTAGGATGATAACTTACCATTTATGTTATCAATGAAAATTAACATTTACCAATTTACTTATCAAATTCATTTATCTTATAACGATTTCCTTATCAAACTAAATCGTCTATTGATTGATTTATCAATCATGTTAATAAATAAGGAGTACTAATTTTCTTATCAATTTGGGTAATCACTTACCAAATCACGAGTTTTTAGATAAGGATAAAGATAGTGGTTTAAAAATACACAACTTACAGTAATTTTTTTTTTTTTTGAGGAAACGTACAGTAATTTAACCAACAAATTAACCAAATAAACATTCAATTTTGTAATGTATGTAGAAAATTACGCAGGTTTAAAATCTTTTTACTTAACAAAATAAGCTAATTAAATTGTATCCCTACAAAATTGTGGAAAAAGGAAGTTGATAAGTCAAAGTCAACAGATTCACATGATACATCCTAAAATCACTGAAGTAAAACTTTTTAAATAACTTTTTAAACAAATTCACATTCCCACCACCCATGAGTACATGAACCATCATTAAATCAGGAGTCGATTGTGTAGGTAATATCTATTAATTATTATTATTAATAATTATTACAATATCTTTATAAATGGAAATAAATCAATAAAATTTATTTATTCTTTTCAAAAAAATAAAATAAAATTTATTTAGAAAATAATTATAAAAACCATCCATTCACACCCCAAAGGAGTCATAGAGTAGCTAGGAAACAAACTCTTTGGTGGTTAGGAGACACATATATTTTCGCCATCTCAAATTTGCATAAATACTGTAAACTATATTCTAAAAAATCATAATAGCAAACTAGAGAGCAAAAATATGGAGGTAGTGAAGAAAGAAAACGGTGAGACGGTAAAGAAGGAAAACGGTGAGAGTGACAAAAGCATCAACGATTGGCTTCCGGTTACGGCAAACCGTGAAGGGAAGTGGTGGTACGCTGCAATTCACAATGTGACTGGTATGGTTGGTGCTGGTATTCTTGGTTTACCGTACGCTATGTCTCAACTTGGATGGTATGTACACTTTTATTCCTTTGCCCTTTGCAATGTTTATTTTTGATCTTTAATTTGAGAAAAAATAATAATTTTAAGGCTTGTTATAATCTAATTCACATATACCTCTGCCTCATGTTATTTAATTTAATTACATATGTACCGTATAATAGTTTTTATTTATCATGATAATGAAACACGGATGATATTGATTTTAGGCGAGTAATTATTGTTGATTGCATGAAAAAGGTTGAATAAGAAATAAATTTTTTTATTTCTGATTATAAAAGTGATTAATGAGTTTAAAAACTAGAAAAGATTTCATTAATAATAGTAGTCCAAATTAATTTGGCTAATGAAAGAGAAGTTGAGAGTACGTGTGTAAATGATGAGGAAATTTTGTTACTCGTACTTTGCATTTATTTTGTTGTAAATTGTTAGCTCAATCAATCCGACAACTCGCCAGGCGATTTGATCTGAAGTTGTGGATCATCTGGTTGTTCCCGGGGGCAATCTGTAAGTTTAAGCTATGTATATGTCTATGTGTATAGATGTTTGGCTGCATCGTTATTCATCATCAATTTGATCTAGTTTGATATGATCATTTAAAGTATTTATGTTTTTGTAATTTGTGTATCTTTAATTAAAAATAAAATTTATGAAAATGGAATATGTTTTAGTAGAGTTTTAAATATAATTAACAATATTATTATTATGTGGTTTGCGCTCATGATAATAACTAAAAAAGAAAATAATATATCATGTTATTGAATAATAATATTTTTTATCCGCGTAATATATTACAGGAGTCCAGGTGTGACAATATTACTATTGTCATGGGCTATAACACTCTATACCCTATGGCAAATGATCGAAATGCATGAAGTTGTCCCTGGTAAAAGGTTTGATCGGTATCACGAGTTGGGACAATACGCGTTTGGGGAAAAGCTTGGTCTATGGCTTGTTGTTCCCCAACAGTTTATGGTTCAGGCTGGGTGTGACATTGTGTATATGGTCACCGGAGGGAGTTCGTTGATGAAATTTTATAATATCATTTCTCCTAATGGACCGCCAATCAAACTAACCTATTTTATCATGATTTATGCATCTATTCAATTTTTCTTGTCCAATTTACCAAATTTCAACTCTATTGCTGGGGTTTCTTTAGCTGCTGCTATTATGTCTCTAAGGTATGTTTTTGCAATAGACTAATGATTTTATATTTTTTCTTGGACAAATATAGTTTTTTATTTTCATTTTCATTTGATATTATTTGATCTTTCTAAGAATCTTGATATTCACGTGGAAAGTCATTATTTTGAATTCAGTTATTCAGCCATCGCATGGATAGCTTCAGCTCTAAAAGGAATACAACCCGACACGAGTTATGGACCTAGATATCACACTAGCGCCGGACAAATATTTGGTTTTTTGAGTGGTTTAGGGACGGTTGCATTTGCTTTTTCTGGGCACAATATAGTGTTGGAGATTCAAGCAACAATTCCTTCAACTTTGCAAAAACCTTCTAAAATAGCCATGTGGAAAGGATCTCTACTCGCTTATATAATAGTAGGATTGTGTTATTTTCCAGTGGCTTTTGTTGGTTATCTAGTGTTTGGCAGGCTTGTTGAGGATAATGTTATGATGTCCCTTGAGAAGCCTATTTGGCTTATTGCCGCTGCAAACCTATTCGTAGTCATACATGTTATTGGGAGTTACCAAGTATGTCAAATTTCTTTCAGTTTTCAAAAAGTATTTGACAATATTTCATAACTACTCTTAATACTAATATTTTTTTTTTATCGTACTCTAGGTTTTTGCAATGCCAGTTTTTGACATGCTTGAATCTTTTTTGGTGCTGAAAATGAAATGCAAACCTGGTAGAATGCTTCGTCTTATAACTCGTTCTACTTATGTCGGTGAGTTGTTTAATAAAATGTTGTTTATTTTATAATTTATATATTTTTTTAAAGTATATTAAAAATATCTTGTTCTACACAGGAATTACTATGTTCATTGGTATAGCATTTCCATTTTTTGGCTCTCTCTTGAGTGTATTGGGTGGAATTGCTTTTGCACCAACATCATTTTATGTAAGTTTTATATACTATTTTTAATTTTATTTCATAATAATCAATACAAATGAATAAAGTTGTCTAATATTAGTATCATATGATTTGTATTTCAGCTTCCTTGCATAATATGGTTAATAATATGCAAACCGAAGAAATACAGTGCATCATGGTTCTTAAACTGGGTATGTTTTCAACTCTAAAATTCATTTACATTCACCAATATTTATTAATTTGTTTTTTTTTTAATTATTTATTTAAATTTTTTTTTATTTTTTTATTTTATAAATATTACACTAATGAACGTATGTTTTTATATGATATTTGCAGGCATTCATCATTTTTGGCACATCGCTGACGATTTTAGCCCCTATAGGAGCTATAAGAGACATAATCGTTCAATGTAATACCTACAAATTCTTCTCCTGATCAACCATTTTTTATGAGGAGTGATTGGGGTGATGATATACATAGATCATAGGTTTTGATCCAGTCGTTTTTTAAAGCGGGTCATCTATATGATTGTTAGTAAATTTATGTGAACTCTTATTATGAACTATTGTAAACATTATATATGTATAATAAAACCATGAATTATGGGTTATATGATCACTTTCTTTTAGTATTTTATTATATCTATATTATATACTTTAGTATTATCGGATAAATGTCATAATATTGTGAAATTTTTCAATAAATACTATTTATTTTTACATTAAAAATCTATTAAAGAAAGAAAAATTGAAATTTAAAATTCCATCTTTAGCTCATTTTCTCAAAACAATTCCACTTTTATATCCCTTATATCCCAATTTCATAAAACCCTAAATAGAGTGGTTGTTACAAACAACCGGGTGTACCGTACATTGGTAGGTATGTGTTTTTATTTTGATGAATGTTTTTCATTTCATCATTAAATGAAGAGAAAAAACTAACCTTAGGTTAGGGGTGTACAGTTTATACGGGTGTATATAACAAATTCTACCCTAAATTTAATTTTTAACCATGAAGCCTAATTTTAAGATTTGATTGAGAAATTAAATTAATTACAATGCAAAATTAAAAACAATTTACATATTTTGTATTCAGCCACCAAATTCTCTTGTTGTCTCTACCACAACTGATTGAAATTATATAAAGTAGGCCCCAACCTAATATTCTTGTCGGAAGATTTAACGTGATAGTGTTACTCAAAGTTTTTATGTTTTTTTGGTAGTTTTCATATACAAAAATAAATGATCTCAAAAGTGGTCATTTTAATGGTGGTTGATTACAAAACCTTGAGAGTGGACCGATATACTATTTAAAAAATATACGCAAGTGAAGAAAGTTAAGTGTTAAAAAAAAAAGCTAAATTGTACTATGCGATCTTTCGTAATATTACATTATTATAAAATTTCTAGTTAAATTCCCAACAATTTAATTTCTATATAAAATACTAGAGCATATGAAGTGTTTAAGAAAATCATCGATGGTATCCTAAATATGATACGACCCGAATGTTTATCACTATAGACTAGAATTTGTTATATACATCCAGGTATATTACCGGTAGTACATCCAACTAACTTAAAGTTAGTTTTTGCTGTTCATTTGATAATTGTTTTTAATACTTATTGGTGTACAGTACATCAAGGTGTATATAACAACTTCTCCTATAGATTTGAACTTGGAATAATTAAAATAAGGAAATTTTGTGTAGAACTACCCTAAAGATAAGGTTATTTGTGAACAACTACCTATTTTTTTTATTTGTTTAGAACTACCCACAAGTTTGAAAACATTTGGGTAGCTCTACCCATTAACCTTTTCCGTCCAATTAAGATGTTATCGAAGCCCACTTTTTTCACTTTTCCACCCAAGTAACTCTCTCAATTTGTATAAAGGTTTTAATTTTCCTTAATTAACCTAATTAGGGTTTTAATAAGAATTCATTTTAGGGTTCATGAGTTTAGTATTATTTGGGGATTTTGATTTTTAAGGTTTAGGGGTTTAATTGAATTGGGGTTTCTGCTTATTTTAGCATTAATTGACCATTGTAATTGATAAAAGTGAAAAATTGGGTCAAAATAACGTATTAATTGAACGGAAAAACGTTAGTGGGTAATGCTACCCAAACGTTTCCGAACTTGCGAACAGTTCTAAACAAATAAAAAAAAATGAATAGTTGTTTACAAATAACACTATCATTAGAATAGTTATACACAAAAGTTCCTTAAAATAACAAACCTTTCTATCCAATTATCCAACATGACAAATAGAGTATGTGTTACTGTTCAAATTGTACCATTTAAGTAACATGACTTATCTCCAACCCTTCAAAAACTAGAGTATGTGTTACTGTTCAAATAAATAGTGTATTCTCGAAATTACCCTAAGTTGCGGATTTAACGAAAGTTCCCCTGTTGGTCAGCTTCTTGCTATCGACTTTGAGCAATGAGAAAGTTGGTTAATTTCCTCTTCCTCTCCCAAATTTCTCCACAATCCATTCATCTGTTTGAGTACATTTACATTTCTAGTTTCCAACCACGCACTCAATCTGTAGTAGTCACTCTTCTCAATTTATATTAAACTTTTTATACTTTTTAATAATACTACCTACGTTTTTTTTAAATATCTTTCTATTATAACACTTACCAACGCATGATTTTAACGCTTAATATCTATAATTATTAATTTTGTAAAATTATAAAAAGTGGATATTAATAAAATATACATTAAGACAATTTAAACAATATCTCACATGACTATATTTTATCGTATCTCCAAATCACAAAAGCAAGTCAAAATGTAGTGTGTGAATGAATAGCGTAAAAGTCAAACTGTGTCAATTTTTTTAAAAAAAACAGAGGTAGTATAGAATTACAAATATTAATGGTCAAAATTGTGCATTGATATGTGTATTTGTCAAAGTAAATAGTTTCTTTAAAGTTGTGTCTGCACAAAGCCACATGAAAATTTATACTACGGAAATTTTAGATTTTAACACCTCACAAAAACCCGAAAATGGTTTTTAACACCATCATAAAATTGAATTGATTTTAACACCACCCAAGTTTCAAAAAATTGGGTATTACCACCACTTAACTGATTCTGTTTACAAATCCGTTAAGTAGGGCCATACAGACACGTGTCGCTTTATTATTGGCCAAAAAAATAAGTAAATAATAAAAAATTAAAAAACAAAAAATAAAAATATTAAAAAAAATAAAAATAAAACTACCCCCAGCCACCCCAGCCCCACCACCAGGGTCGTCACCCAACCCACCCTCTGCCGGCGTCTGGCGTCCCAGAGAATCGCCCGACGCCAACGACCCCACCCCACCCCTTCCCTTTCCCCATTTTCGTTTCCCGACCCACCACCCCGAAACCACCCTAAACGCCCCTTCCCTTGGAAAATGCCCCTCCTCCCCAAGAAACGCCCTCCCTCTCCTTTCCCCCTCCCTTAATCGATTCCCTACCACCCCAAACGAAACCTAAAACCCGTTTAGGGTGGTTTCGGGGTTGTGGGTCGGAAAACGAAAATGGGGAAAGGGAAGGGGTGGGGTGCGGTGCGTAGGTTGGGGAAAGAGGGGTGGGGGTCTCCGGTGCCGGGCGATTCTCTGGGACGCCAGACACCGCAGGGGGTGGGTTTTGGGGACAACTGTGGTGGCGCGGTGGTGGGGCTGGGGTAGTTTTAGGTTTTTAATTTTTTAATTTTTATTAATTTTTTTTAAAACAAATAAAATAGTGACACGTGTCACTGTGGACCACATTTAACGGAATTTTTTAACAGAAACCGTTAAGTGATGGTAATACCAATTTTTTGAAAATTTGTATGGTGTTAATACCCTTTTTTTTGGGAGGTGTTAAAAACCATTTTCGGGTTTTTAGCAGGTATTAAAATCTAAAATAACCTTATACTACAACCGTTTCATAAAATCTGCAACAATTTCCTAAAAAGAAAACTACACATTATGTGCAACAAACCAAAAGTTTTCCCTTTTAGTAAATTTTTTGTGTAAAATTACCAGCATACCCTTAATTTATTTTATTAACTTTAATAATAACATATTAACTCTTTAACCCAAATTAATTTTAATCAAAACCTTAACCCACATTCTCTCTCCTCCCTCATAACCACATCCACCACTAACATCACCATTTTTTCTCTCTCCTTCCTGTCAACCACCACGAGTAAATATAAAGTGTGGGTACTAAACTTTGCCCAAAGTTGCAATTTAGGTACTCAACTTTGCTTTGTTGCAAGTTGGGTACTGAAACCGGCCTGAGCTTACTTTTCCGGTGGGTGACTTGGTATAACAGGTAATTAACAAGTTAAGTGTAATAAAAAAAATCTGCATGTTTGTAATGATTGTGCATAGGGAACAACATTCGAGGCATTACTTCTCCCAAAACAGAGCAAATTCCGCGGGAGAAATGAACGATCAGGATTAATTACCTAGAAGCTTCTCCAAGAAGACTCTTCTGTGTATTTAAGAGAAGTATTGTACTTCATTAATTGTACTGCAAACACTTAAGCAAATTTAGAAAAAAAAATAAAAAACTTTGAGCTAGAAGAAGAAAGAGGACGCCATTAATGTCTTGGCCAAACTGCAAACTTGGTGAGGGATACGCTGGAAAAGCACGGAGGCTGGCTTCTACCGAAGATATATTTCTTGTTTTTGTCTGCTAGTCTGCTACTGATAAATGCTTATGGTTTGTTGCTGTTTATTGTTTGTTTATATGTTTTTGTGCTTTTTACTTAAAAAAGGAAATATGCCTTTTTTTAGAAAAGTTGAAGCTTGTTTGTTGTTGGTGAAAGTGAGATGTTTTGTGTGGGGTTTTGTAAGATTTAATTTTTTATGTTAATATTGGGGATTTGTAATGGTTAAAGGTGTAAAGCTTGATGTGCTTTGTTGATTAGTTTAATTAACATGGATTATGCTGTTTTTATTATTTTAATTAACCCATAAGTAGTGCTTAAGTAAGTAGTTTGTACCCTAATCCATTTCTAATGGAATTGTTGACCAACCTAGGCATGGACGCACTTGTTGAGGCCCACCCACTCATGAGCCAGCACGAGATTCTGGTCACTCACATCTTCCCAAGGGTGGACTTTGTTGGCAGGATTGTCATCGAGCAAACCTATAGGAGGTGGAGGATGTGGTGGCGCCTGCGCCACCTGCACTTTCATTACCCTTTCTAAGGTCCTAAGGCTCAAATTCAGGAGTGGGTCCTCAGGGATTTGCTGTACAACGGCCGTGACCTCCATGCATGGCTCAACAAGGACATGACTGTCTACTTCGACGGTTTCCCCTTGTTGTATGGTGATGAGATGCCATAGAGGCGCAATGCCATGGGTGTAGGGGGCTGGATGCAGCAGACTTAGGTTTTTTTTTTTGGGGATGATGCTGCTAGTTTAAGCTTTTGATCTTTATGTTTTAGGTTTATTTAAGTTGTAATTATACTAAGCCTTTCCATTGTCATGGGAAGTAGGTTGTTGTGACAAGGTTTCTAGGTAGGTTTTTGGACTTGTAACTCCCATGACAATGAGTATATTTGCTAGATTGTTTTGGTAAGCTGTAGGATGAAGCTTACCTGTAGACACCCATTTGTGTC